ACTTTGCTTCAGTAATATTTATATGCTCTTAGCTGCATTCCTAACAATTCTTAAGAGAGAGATTTTGGGATCCTGGAGAGGGAGATAGTTCAGCACTTCCCAGAATGATCTCCATTTGAGTTGCCTTAAGTGAGCTAGAGCGGCTTTCTTCTGGGAATACAGCCAGTGTACACAGAGAGTCAAAATCTGCAGCAAAGGTGCTGCAAGATACTGCAAAGGAAGAAGAGCTGAATGGTCTGTGAATACATGTCCCATCAGCCCCCAGCTTCAAAGTGAAACAAGATGCAGAGAATTATCTGTGAGTATAAATCCATTAAAAAAATCTATATGTGTTCTTTATTTTGTGAAGTCAGACAATGAAAGATCCCATGCTACAAAAATTCAGCAGTTTCGGTCACTTGTACATCTTGGCAAACATTGGGAGTATGTGAGCCTGAGTGAGACCCGTGCCCCACTGGAGCTGAAATGTCTTCTACAAGAGTTAATCCCATGCAGCCCCATTGTGCAGGATCACACAGGGTTACATTCCCCCCTGGGGTTTTTATAGACACACAGCACTGCCCAGTGTTCACATTCAGGTTGGTTTTTTTTTACTCTATAACAGTACAAAAGTTATCTTCTAACACAAACACAAAATCCTATAATTAAACCTTTGTTACCCACAGCAGAGGACTCATCATGTATACAAAGCAAACATTTTGGCAAATTTATTGTGCTCCTTGAGACTAAGACAGAATTAATAGCATTGCAAAATTAAAGCAAGCTGCTTGCTACACTACTGCTGGATTTTTTTCACTGGCAACAAGATTTTATGTTCCTCTTCATCTTGAAAAAAAATGCAAGAGTTTTATTGTTGAAGGCAGCACAGTGCAAAATACCATATCAAAGTAAAAACTGAGGAGATATTTTGGCCTTTAAAAATGACACTTCACTATCCATTTAATATAATTTTGTTGTTTGTTTGTTTGTTTTTTTACATAAAATTATAAACATTGGGAGGAAGCTGATTAGGGTAATCCAACTAGTAAACTGCATAAACCATCAAATTTAAGGGTTTTGTGCTGAAAGACACCTGATAGATGATTTCATTTGCATTATGTGAGGCCCTTCACTGATGGGAAGGCACCTTGCTCATTAAACAGAAAGCCAAAGATGTCTCATGCAGCACTTCTGGAAGAGGAAACTTCTATTTTTCAAGTCCATTTTGTTGTTGTTCTTTGACTGTAATTCCAACTTTGTTAGTTTATGTGCATGAGTCATGAACAAAAGATGAATTTTTACATTTTATTTCCCTGTTAGATGTTATATTGCAACAATATATATTGCAGCTGCCTGAGCAAAATGGATCAGCCTGAGCTAGTCATATTGCCTCTCAGCTGGAAAAGTATAATGATGTCCTCAGGAAAGCTGATCAGATCTGAAAGGCTTTTCTGGTGGCATCAAGTGTGAAACATAACTCATTGTTCATACAGAGGAGAGAACTGTATTTTTATTTGCATTTTTCTATTTCCACAAATGAGCCATTTCACCAAAGAAAAATACATGAGTTCTAAAGCTATTTTCTGCCTACCTACTGTAGGACATCTATGGCAAGTTCTACTTGCATGACCCTTTGTCTTAGAAATCTGGAGACAGAACAACACTGTGAGAAAATAAAAATTCCCCTGGCTGTCATATCAGAGGTTCAAGCAGACTACATTAACATTTAACTACATTTTCTGTAAACCTTTTCATGGGGCAGCAATAATTAGAGGGTAAAAATCTGGTCTTTTTTTTATATGCTATATTCCTTAAATACAGAAACTGGGGCTTTTTTCAAGATTACTACAAAAGGTAATAGCATATCTTAACATTACCTTTTATGCTAATTAGTTATTTATTTCAGAAAGGGTATTTTGAAAAGAGAGGGCGTTAAGATGGTTTATATTGTATCTCAAAAACGTGTCTATCTCTACTGTAGGTCCTAGAATATTAATACCAGAAAAGAAAAAAAAATATCACTTGAGATTAAGGATTGTGCATGCTTGCTCATGGGGGAGAAGTCTGAAAATTTTTTGAACAACCAGCCTTTGGGCAATTGAGCCCAAGGTTGCTTATTCTGTAATTAAGTTACCATTTCTGGTGTGAATCTGTTTGACAGAGAGCTATCTTGCCACTTGCGATTTCAGCAAGTATCTCAAGCTGCCTTTTGCCATCTGCAGGAAGGAGAAATCCCTGGGACAGCTGGCAGAACCCTTTTGGGAAGGGGCTATTGACTCTGCTCAGTGGTGGGCTGCAGCAGGTCTGTGCACAGCCCTGTTCAGGACCCCAGCAGCCACACAGGCTGACCCTGACAGCGATGCAGGCTCACTGGCTCTGTCATAAGGCTCTGACAAACATAAAACTAGCTTTTCCTCCTCCTGTTTTTAACAATGAAAGACAACCTGACTGAAAACCTTTAACAGCATCTCGGATAGTCATGTGCTCAACTCTATTTTTTTATTCATTACTAAATGTAGTTGTCATTACCAAGAGGGCTCAGGTTTTCTTTCCCACCTCTGTAGAGAAGACAAGACTTCAAAATTGCAAACACAGGTGCTAGAAAATTTTATGTTTCCTGAAGCCTCCCCAAATTTTTCCAAAGAGAGCATAATGTGATAATAAAACCAAAACCACTAATATAAACATAAATAAACCTAGGGATTGCAGTGCTAAGGTAGTAACTCACCCATGCATGCAAAAAATTGAATGCTTGTCTTAGCAGTAAGGCATCACAGGGTTTGTTCTTTGCTTCTGTAACTCATAGGGAGGTCTTAAAATATGTTCAGAGTAGTTTCAGTCAATCAGCAGCAAATTATTTATCTTGTCAATCTTGTTAAAGAAGCGAAGGTGAAGAGCCTAGGAGACTTCATGAGTGGGAGTCACAAACTGGTGGGAGAGACTCAGGGCAATGAGCATGAGGATGTTATATAAAGGTAGTCAAGTACAGACATGCTATCTGTATGTTACTGGTTTTTAATGAGAGGAATTAAGATTATGTGGGGGGTGATATGTGAAGCTGGCACTGTGATGAAATTCAGTTTTCCCCAGTACTTCAGTTTGAACTTTAGCTCCAGGATTTTCAGTTCTTAATTTTTAATTAAATTCATATTGACCATTGTTACTAATACCATCCTCCTGACTGGGCATAAGGTTTCACAGGAAGGAAAGCCAGTTACAGCCAGATGAATCCAGGTAGGAAAGCAGCTGTGAATACATTGATGAGATTCCAGCTGCAGTTCTCTTTCCTTACTGCTCACCTGCTTGAAAACACTGTACAACCTGTACACTGTACAAGGTTGCTCACAGAAAGAACTGAGGAATGTTTTTCATGGTCACACATAAATGGGCATATTTGTGTCTCCCAAAACACAACCTAACCCCAGAAAATGCACCACTGGCTTAGCTAGGCAAACCTGCAGCTCAAGCAACACATTTTAATGGAGTACTCACTAGCAGCTATTCAGGAATACCTCCATGGGCCTAACAGCTTTGGTAGAAAGCGTGTCACGTGATTCTAATGAAACACATCAAGAGAATCAGGATGTAAGTGCACAATTTATAACTGTAAACAGAGAAAACCATAACAAATAGAATTTTCCAGCAATAACACAAGTTCAGCACACTTTAGCAAAGATCCTGTTTGGATACAAACATCATTAAAAGCAGAAAATGCAGGAAATACATAAGGCAAAAGTTTATTTTCTGAAGTGTAAGTATGTCCTTAGCATAATTTAAGTAATCCATTGCCATTGCAATTCTGATTGCTACAAAACTGAAGGTAAACTTTTTGACTGCACCTATTGCACACTTTCTCCACAGCTGTAAAATAAAACCCTTCTGTATCAAGAGATTCTTGATCACACTGTGATTAGCTGGTTTGTAGGAGTTCAGTTAAGTAGTTGACTTAATTATGAAAGATGCTACTTGTTTGCATCATTCTACTTTATAATCTGCGGCATATCACTCCAAGCTTGAGACTTCTTTTTGGCCAGCTCCATCCATGATGGCTGATCCAGAACAACATTATTTGCTTTCTTCAAGTGGCTTATTTCCTCCTTATCCACCAGTGCAGGTGATGGAGCTACTGTGAATAAAGAACATGGATATTTTACCCTTACCTGCTGTGCAACTAAACACCTTATTAAATACTCTTTTACTAAATACTCCCCATGCCTTGCCCTGTGGTAGAAAATCTTTACATTTCACATGGAAGTTTCTTGTGCAATAAGTTATTGAGGAAACTACCATTCTGTGATCCAAATAATACGATGTTTTTCTCATCACTAATATATTTTGATCCCTAAATTTATCAAAACTCAACATGACAACCTGGATTCTTTGCTGTGCCCTATGTTAACACCCAGGCCAAAGAAGAAAGAGTCTTTTCATTAGCTAAAGTATTCACTTGTGAATTCCTCCTTTACTCAGCCCCCAACTCACAGGAATTTTATTACCTCAAAACTTCTGCCCTGCTTTCAAATTTTGATTTACCAAAGAGATTTACAACAAACTCACTGTGGGAGGACTGATAGTTAGACAGTTTGTGATTGCACCATTCCTCAGCTTGCTGAGGAAGCCGCATTTAAATTGTATGCTATTGTAAATATTTCTGTTTACATGTTACACTGGAAAAGTGAATTTGGGCCTCTGTCCTGTGAAAGGGCCTGGAATTCTTGATTCACGTTTCTTTCAACACAAGTTTTTGGCTACCCCTTTTTACTCTCTTGTTTGTAATGAAACTGGTCAAAAGAATATAAATGAATAAAACCTCAAATAAAATAATAAATAAATAAAACACCAAATAAAATGCCATGAGTTTTATTCATGAGTGCTGAGAAAACTCTTTGTCCTGGCTGATGTGGGGCTGAGGAAAAGATTAGGATCTAGCCCCTACTCCTTTTGCAGCACACTCAAGCAGGATTTTTTCTGACAAGGTTGTGAAAGAGCAGCCTACATTTTAAGCATTTTGTTTCTTACCAGGGACATAATGTGACAATGAATTGGTTCTTAGCAGGGCCTTCCCTTCAGACTTTGTGTCTTTCCTCTGCTCTTCAGAAGTGGTTTTAGGTGCCAAGTGTGAAGGTTTGCTCCATTGTTGCCTCACTGGCCCCTAGGCAGAGAGAGGGATAAAATCCAGGGATTTTAATTCAGGGAGAATGAGTTCAGTTTGGAAGAACATGAACAAAGTAGTAGATGGGAAGCCTGCCACAATTCAGCAGACATTGGTCCCAATCCTCTCCCTTGAGCTGATACTTGTTCAGAAAGTTACAGTGTTTTCATGTAACATCCATGATACTCAATTTTACAAATTAAAACTTTCTCTCCATATCTCTTATTCAAAATGGTATGAGTAGATAATTATAGTCTTCACTGCAAAATGTATTCCAAGTTCTTTGCACATCCCTACATGCATACACAGGATTTGGAAATAGCCTCATTCTCTCATGTTTTCCTTCCATCTCCCAAATTTTGTGTGCTAGGGCACTGTATTTTTGGACAGTTGATGGTAAATGGATTTTTCATTAAAAAAAAAAGGTCAAACACATCCTCCAATAGATTTTCTCGCCAGTATAAAAAACTACCCTGAAGTGATAGTGCCTAGTGCCATGTGGGAGAAAGAGAAAGTGGGAGTAGTACAGTGGCACCAAGCCTCACATGTTGCAGTCAGAAGCATCTTGGCATGTTTCTCTGCTAGCTGCTATAGGGAAATAAAATGCATGGCATGAATTTCAGAGATCATTGCCAACTAAAATCTGGAGTTTCCTGTTCTGACATAGAAACTGTATTTTCGGATTGTGTTGGGCATTAATGCAGTTCAGAAGTTTGCCTAGATATCTTATTAGGTATTATTTCTTGTTAACCTAACCACTGCTATTTTTCATCATCTAGAAATCATCTCTTGTTCCATGATATAATACACCTGTCTGAGGTTCTAGCAGTACCACCTGAAGCAAGAAAGTAGATCATTTGCATTGGGAATGCCATAGTGGTATAGGACACACATGCTCCTGCATCACAGCAGGGTTCTTATTTGTGCAGGATCAGAACAGGCAGCAGGTTAGTGTTCTGGATTCATGCCAAGCACTTCTGATGGCACAGCCAAGTCATCAGGGAAGATCATTTGCTACAGGTATCACCCTGATCTGCATGGGATCTCTGAAGGGGCAGTGTCAGCCCATATTCCATGGCACCACATGGGCTTCTGGATTATCCATACACAGGGAACCAGAATTTATATATTGGCACTCTCTGCAAGTGCAAAAGTTATTTTTATCCTATTTCACTTCTCAGGGCTCTAAAAATTGTTACCTAGGAGCTTCTGGGACCAAGCTGTTCATTCAGTGTTAAATCAGTCAGGAGGTATAAGAGGTTCAGCAAAAGGCAGTGCTTAGAAGGATAGTTAGAGAGAACGTATTTCCTCTGCATTGAGGAGGATCAAAGACTACAATTTAGCACTTCATTTTGGATATTTTAGCATGCAATACACATGTCAGATCTGGTAGGTATGCCAAGAAATTTTACACACTCCACATAGTTCCAGGATTTCTTGGAGACACAGAATTACATATCTCAACAGAGAACTTTGAATCTGTAACATATTTATGAGAGCAGTGTTTTTGTTAGTTACAGTTACACTCATTAAGTATCTGTAATCTTTGTGGCATGACTGGTAACACAGCAGTAGATCCAAAGAGTACTACATCATAAATTTGTACTGCAAGTACCTCTGTTTGTTCCTTTCCTTTATTCTGTTTCTCTGCATTTGACTTATTATCTGGAGCCACAAGCTTTTCTCTGTCGAGTTCCTTCTCCTGATGCATGCCCCTCTGCTTTTGCCTTGCAATGGAAATCCAGCATGGCTCTGTAGGAGTGTCAGGATCTCTTCCAGAGTCTCCAGCAGCCACGGGGGAAGGCACGTTTTTCTCTGTTGACAGATTATTTATGTACATAGTTATAGGAAAAAAGAGTTGTAATCAGCTTCAGCTCATATTTCTCAATATACTGATTGGTCCCAGGATATGAAACCATCCTGGATAAATAGGAATTCTGTTTCGTTTGGTCTCCAGAGAGCAATTTTCCCGTGCTCAGAGGTTTAAGTTTAGGTTATCATTCTACTGGTGAGAAATGCTTTGCATCTTTGTTCAGCTGGAATCGGTGTCACTGCCCTCACATGAGGGAGATGCAGAAACATGAATCAAACTTCACTAATCTACCCATTTCTCAAGGTCTGCCCCTTCTGCTCCCTCTTCCACAGTATCTTAGAGACAAGCAGCAGACTATTCAAAGGTGGACACAGAGGGACTGAGGTGTTGCAAAGGCAACCTTTTCCCCACTGTGGCTGCCTTCAGCTCCCACCCTTCTGATGTCCAAGCAGCAGCAGCCCATGCCTTGTTTCCTGCTTTTCTTCCACCCTTTTAGGAGCAGCTCTCCCCCAGCTCCATGGAGTCTACAGGTGCCATGGGTGCCTGTGCACAGCAGTCTGTGGTGTCTGAGCACACAGAAGTACTGCTAAAACCAGAGAGCGACTTTCAGGTTTTTGATGTGATGTTTAACGTTAACTAATCCCTGCTGATGCTGCCCATGGTCTTCACTGGGGCCAGTAACTTCCATTGGGCTCTATGAGAAATGGGACTTGAGTGACACAAAAAGAAAAAGACAATTTCTGGAGAAGCAAGTCAAAACTACTACCCTGCTGACCTCACAACTGCTACCCAAGGATGTGCAGAATCCAGGGTTGTGGGAAAGAGAAATACCCTGTATTCAAATATTCTGAGAAGGGAAATCCTATCTATGCACTGAACAGAACTCAGTCAAGAGAAGAGCCTCAGCAGTTCCACTGACTCCCTCCCCCTGGTCCTCCATTTTTTGACTCACACTGAATACGAAATTGAGTTTCCCAATGAATGGTAGAGCTTCTGTGTAGTTTAAATGAGGAACAAGAACATGACTAACAATCTTAGACCCAAGAAGGTTGATTTCATCTTTCCCAGCCAGTTCTGGCCATTGATGTATCAAAATTTACTGAAGGCTCTTTCAGAGCAGAAGTTAAGCTTCTCATCCTCAAATCATGTGTAGTCCCACTCTTTGGAAAAGTTTGTTACTTAGTCAGCATCCTGTTCAGGAACCTGGGAGGAGGCAGACCCAGCCAGGAAGGATTACTGCCTTAGGGTCCCCTGGGGGCTCAGCTGCTCTGCTGACGTAGAGCCAGCCACGGGACCCTGTGGCACTGTCAGACACATTTCTGGAGCACTATGGTCTAGTTTGGCAGAATGTAGCCCAGATCAGGAAAGCAGGCAAATGTCTCTGAAGGCATATTTGAGATGCCTTATGAAGGCATGGAAGATAAAAGTGATGATGCACTCCCAAGAGCTGGAGTCTTCCAACACAGGCACATTATGAAAGCCCACAAACTTGCTTTGCTCAGAGATTTTCTCAAGTCATTTTTATACCTCACCAGAGAGAGAGTAGTTATTTGAACAAGAAAACATTGTAAAGCCTATGTCAGCTAAAAAATGAAAAAGATAAAAAAACCCATGCTTTAATGCCAAAGCAAGATGTTTAGCCAGCTGATGCCTGCATTTTCCTTCACATTCACCTCGTGCAATCTTGCAGGAAAACCTCTGAAAGAAACAACTCAGAAGTTCAGCTGTGCAAATGCAGCACAGTTAAACAGGGCCCCTGAACACTGAAGGAACTTCTCTCCCTCTTGGACAGCATGTTACTCCAGTTCTCTGCATCTCACCTAACCCCCATCTTTGCAAGACATCATCTTTTCCTCCCATAATCTTTTTCCAATCATTGTCTTTTTTTGCCTTCCACTGGCTCTTCTTGCTTCATTTTTATCTCATTTTACAGGATAATAAAGAATAAGGCTGGGAGAGATCTCAACAAGATCAGCTGAAAGATCAGTTTCACAGAAACTGTTTCCTCACAAATATGTATCTAACTCTCCAAAAACAGGACAGGTCTCAGAGTCTCCCTAGGCAACCTATCCTATAGCATGGCTCTTTTTTTCTACTTTTTTTTTTTTTGTATGTTGGGTAAGTTAAATCTTCCTTGCTCTAATTTAAATCCTTAACTACTTCTCCTACACACTATGGACACGAGCAGATTACTCATAGTCTCCTTGCAACAGCCTGTTATGCATTTCAAGACTTAGACCATGTTTTCCCTTTTTTTTTTAACTTTCCTGATTAATCATATTCTCTAGATCACTCTTGTAGGAATTGTCCTAGTTTGGTCAAATCTCCTTCAAATACAATGGTCAGAACTGGCACTTGAGATGGAAACAGTGTTAGCATCAGCTGACATGGAAGGACTACACCACTTCACCTGGAATGGTTTTCTGTACACGTCAGTCAGTGCCCCTTAACTTTCACAGCTCTCCAAGATAACCACTAGCAAGTCAAAGTCTGCTAGCCCATCTTCTCTCTAACGTAGGGCAAACCTCATTAGGATTTTCATAAGTAAAACCTCACAGTTAAAATGATGTGATGTCTGCTAAGGCACATGCCATCACATTCCCTCCTTTGGTTGCATCCATGCCCATAAACCCATCTGCAGCCATCTGCACCTTTTCAGGTGGTGGGCAATTTGGGCAGGATTTACTAGTGCATTGCCCAGTAAAACCAGGTGCTATGTTTCATCAGTTCCTGAAGCACTCCTGTGGCACACAGATGAGCTGCCACGACTGAAGGTGATGTCCCATGTTCCTCAGAGCTGAGGAGCAGCTCTCTGGCTGTACAGCTGCAGACACACCACCACATGCATCCCCTTCCACCACCTCTTTACCTTCCTTCACCATCTGTAATGGTGCTCAAAAACTCCAATGTCTTTATCCTGAAGGACCTTTACAATCCGCCCACACTTTTTGATGATACTGGGAACCTGGCTTCTACCCTGATGCCGCTAGTGATGTACACCTTAATTGCTGTGACTCCAAATCCCCCTTTGTGTTTTGTCCCATTTTCCCTCTCACACCCCAGGAGCTTTATGTAAACCTCAAGGTTGTTCCTCCTCTGCCTCTACTACACAATCCACACTGACAAAATGAATGCTATGCCCAGGCTCTATTTACTGCACTACATGTAATGGTCTTTTTGGTACCTGTGGTCCCATTTCTCTGTCACCCTCATGAATTTAGAATTCATCCTGCTGTTTTGACTGTGCATTGCCTAGCAAAACAGGATTCCCACTCCTGCAGTGATATGTCTGGAGGCTGGTATTATAACAATGTTTTTCATAAGGCAGACGCTCTAACGAAGGCACCAAGCACCCTTAATCTTTAGGCAGCTCTCCCTGATGAGATGCCAGACATCCTAGTCATGCCAATTAGAAGGCAGCCAAATTAGAGCCAGGTATCATTCCATAAGAGATGGTATCCAAATGTCCCTTTAATAGTAGGGAACAAAAGCTCTTTATCATAATCCTGAAGATTTTATATGTATCTGTATGGGCCAACTTAGGACAGCAGAGTAGTATCACCTACAGAGGATTAAGAACTGATCTGCTGCTGGGAGAGGCTTTCTTGTATCTTTAACCAATTATATTCTGCCCTTGTTCCTCTGAGTCTTTGCTGCAGAAAGCCAGCCAGCCAGACAAGGCAAGGGAAGTGCCTTATCTTCAGAAAAAAACCCCATCAGATGCAACCCACACAGGATTGGCTACCTCATCCATCAGACAGAATCACTGTAAGGGGCAGAAGAGGCATATTCACTATTTATTATCTTTCCCATCGCCCAGAGGTCCTTTATATTCTCCCACCTCCAATTAGATATGGTTTCTTGGCAGAATATGTGCACCATTGTTCCAGCCAGAAGGATGAAAGGTGGTGAAGTAATCCGGGAGATAGTATGGTTAAGAGAGCTGGCAGTTTAAGGTGACCTAAGACTGTCCTATGAAGCTCTTAGTACCCTAAGGGACACAAAAAAACAAAAAGCTTTCTCAGGAAGTGACTGTTCTCAAGGGAAGTGCTGCCCACACATCTTTCTGGTTTCATGACTGTCTTATCACCTTGAACAAGCTCTGTCTTATCTAGTCATGGGATAGTCCATGTGCTTTTATGGTTCACCACATGGTAAAGCACAGCATTTAAGAAACTGGGTAGCCAGAGCAGAACCAAAAGTACTCAAAAAGACAATTTTAATTCCTGTTTCTGCTGCATGTCACATGCACAGCAGCTTGCACGGAAACTCCCAGCTGGTAAATGCCAGTCTTGGGGAAATAACAATGAAGTACAAAATGCAAGCAGTGGCATCCTCCATCCGAAGCTGAGTCAGTTTTGACACACCACAGCCACTACAAATGTCCTGTGTTCCATTTCTCCTTTGTTGAAGCAGGGCTGAGCCTCCTCCTACCATGTTGCACTTGAGAGATTTTCAGAATAAAACTAAAATCTAAATAATATTCTTCATTTCATATTACAACATGTTATTTTAAACAATGTGCTATTCAACTCATTCCTTAGTAACTTCATAAGCTAATAAAGGATATTGCTGGCAGCAATTTGTCTCTCATTCATTCACAGCTTTAACCTCATGATTGCATCTTTCCCTGGTTTCCTTGGAGTTGGCTTGGCCTCAGGCTTTTTCGAAAGAGAGGAGCCCCTTCTTTCCCTTGGGATAAGCCACCAACAGTGGAAAGATCCAGGTCAGAACTTGTCAAGCCAGTCTGTGCATAATGTCACCATGTATTAAAGCCAGCAATTAATGTAGGCTCCTGAGATCTTATGCTGCCACTTGAAACCACACCCAGAGGCTGCTGAAGCCTTGCCGTCATGTCTTCCCCACAGCCAGCGAACATACACAGGACAGTCACAAGGTCAGCGGTTCTGCATTCTTCACCACTTCCACAGCTCCCAGAACAACCACTAAGGATAGCTCTGAAGCCAAGTGAACCACAGCCACCTTCTCAATTCCCTCCTGCAGATCAGAATCCCCCAGGCTCTCCTCCACTGAGTCTGAAAGCATCAGGGCTGGCTGCCTCAGTGGTCCTCTAGAGGGGGGAAACTCCCCTGCTGCAACCCCATTTAATGCAGGTATCTGTTTCCCTTAGTATCTTACTAAAACAAATTTCTTTTTTTTTCCTCAGACTAAAAGGTTATCATGCTACTGGTGGGAATTTCTTCTGCCTAAGTATTGTGGAAATTAATGTGTATACATCTCTCTGATATTTGGATATTATCCTGTAATGTGTTTCAGACTGGTTGTATGAACAGTAAGATGAAGATAATACATTAATCTTAATGTATGAAAGGAACTATGATTGACTTGTTATTGTGCATGGATTTATACACACACACAGAAAGTGAAAGAAAAATACATATCTATTTCTGTCTATTGACAGACAAATATACTTCCTGTATTCAAATGTACCTCTCTGTGTGTACTGCTGATATGGATAAACACAGTAAAGACATATTTTTAACCATTACCCTGAGATTTAGGGATTAACTGTCTTTTTAGAGATGGCCTCAGATTTCTTTAAATCTGTGACCTGTTTTCTATACATCTAAAAGCCTTTTTGTGCACAAAAATTTTAGCAGAGGCTCTTTATGACATATAAGTCTCATATTTGGAAAAGAACATCTTACGCCTTCAAGAACTGCAAAGAGTGGTTTTTCTTGCTATACATGTGTGCAGGTGAAAGGTCAGAGCCAGAATTTCAAGTCTTTTGAAAGTCAAACCACTTACAGCAAGCAAAGCTAGCTTGTGGATTCCTTGAGTGTTTTAAAAGCAAACATACTCAAAACTAATCCAAACAACTTTACACAGGGAGATAACACACTCTGTATGTAAGTGTCATTATTTTATAACACTGCTTATGCATGCATATTTAATTCCACACTGTTGTATCTTTGCTCATTTATAAAACACCACTTATTTTAATAAGAGTTTCACAAATGCATAAAGCATTTAGAATATCCTGGCCTCTATATTTCCCTTTGTTCATTAATGCACTACATGCATTCATGTCAGTATACACACCCAATTCCTTAATTTCAGACAAAGGTATTCTAAAGATTTGCTTAAGTATTTCTGACAATTCTTTCTTCCCCATGCTGCTCTGAGAGGTATTTGACTATTTGACTTTTGATTGGATCTATACCACTGATGCCAGAAGAATCTTTTTTTACACAAGAAACTGCTGTTTGCATCAAAGTCTATTTCACTGCTGGTAAACAGCCGTGTTGCAAAATAACCTGACACAACTTAGAAAGCAACTTCTTTCAGGAAAAAAAAAAGAAAAAGACAGCTTGTTTTTCAGCTGTAGCCAGTTCAGCATTAAAGCAATGTCTTTTTGATGTAGAGAAAAACAGTTCTCTTGTTATTCCAGAGCCTGTATTTGCCAGACAGTACACACCAATTTCATTCACCATAAAATCCATCATTCTTCCCTGAGCTTTTGCTCTGTTCAGAGGATGCCTCCCCACTATAGCTCCTCAGTCACTGATTTTTTTTATCCTAATATGCAGATTCAGACAAGCATTGCTTATGGTTTCACTGTTGTAATAACCCGTTAGCATATGGTAATTGTTTCTGCCCTTTACAGGATTTATAGCAAAGTGTATCAACTCCAAACAACACAGCTTAACCTTTTAAATCTTACAAAGACTTGTGCCTTTAGCTCCAGAAACTTTAAAATTACTCCTCCTGGGGTGACTAATTCCACACAGACATTAAAGAGCTTCCTTGCAGCCTGACAGAGGTAAAGCAATCCCTCACTAGTTCCCCAGAAAGCTCTGGAGAGCAGGAGTGCTGCTTTCACCTGGCATGGTAAGCCAGCATCCCATTAGGTCTCCTGTTCCTTTGGTACCAAGACTGCTGAAAAGCTAAAATGTGAACTGGATGAATCACATTGCTCCTGCTGACCTCCATGACACAGCAAATTGACTTTTTTTAAATGTGTGTACATGAGAAGGGAACTACATCCCCTTGTATCACAATTTCACAGCTTGTCTTCTTGTTCAGCACATAGATTTCCTAATATGTGGTGGGAAGAAACTCCCTGACAGCATAAATTGTCTCCTGATGGTGACCACAGCTCTTTGAAAAGCCTGATGAACTCAAGGGCTAGGAGAGGGCTGTCTGGGTGTAAGGAAAAAAAAGAAGTGAGTGTCCAGGCCAGAGATGCCTGATTAGACACGTGATCCATGAGGGGCTGTGTTGATTTTGTCAAATTTCTCCTGTTTGCAGTTGCAAAGACATGGTCCTGACTCAGTGAGCTGAGGGAAACTTTTCAGAGAGCTTAAAATTATGTTTGGACAGGGCTATTGCCCTGCTAAGTCCTCATTGCATCCCACGACTCTCCTGTGCCTCACAGAGGGCCTCATTTGTGGGGTCACTATGCAATTTTTCCCAATAAAGCTAGTGTGGTTCCAGGGCACTCAGAGGAGGTGGGCACACCTCATTCACCCATGACTTCAGATGGCCAGGTCAGGCTGATGTGACAACTTAGCACTGGGAGGTGCTTGGTCAGGTGTCTGAAGAAGGCAGTAGATAAGGAAGAAAATTAATTGCCATCACAGACCAATCTGAACTATCATTTTAAACAACCTCAGGCTATAAAGATTTGGTGTAATACTCTCAGGTGGAGGGGAACAGAGCAGGACTTCTTAACACTGTTTCAAATTTCAGGTGCATGCATCTCTATCAGGGAGACCAAGGCACAACTATCACCCACAGATCCTATTTTGTAGAGGGTGGTCCTGCATCTCAGGATCTCAAGCACAGTCTCCTTCATCCTAGGGCTGAAGAGCCACAGGAGAAGCCTGGAGGAGAAATGTGCTCCCTGGCTTCATTTCTTCCCCTTCTTCCTTTTCCAGTACTCATTGTCTTTCACTGCAGGAAGGCATTCCAGTCCATTTGCAGGCACTCTGGCACTGAGCAAGAGGGATGTGATAAAGCACTGCGTGAGGGAGCACTGGTACTCCCACTGCTCTCTTCCATACCCTGCCACAACAACCCTGCTAGAGGAGGTCTTCTCCTCTCTTGTCCCAGTATGACCCTCCCCAAAATCTCAGTCCATCAGAGATGTGGGCATCACTACAAATAATCAACTACTCAGGGCAGCAGAGGGGAAAATGCCTTCAATGGGAGTGTTGGGATTATATACATATTTTTTATATATCTCCTGTCTTGCCTGCAGGGTGTGGGGAGGCTCTAGCTGGATGGCTGTGGGGACCTCATCCAGCTGTGGATCTTAATGAATTTATTTCCTTTATGATGTCAGAGAGAGCAGGAAACTGAACGTGGTCAAAGTCCTTCAAAAATGTCTGTGATGCTGCAGCAGGGGACAACTGGAATCAGATGTCACTCGGCATCAGCAAGTTGCCTCTGGGGCCAGAAAGAGACTTTTGTCACCCTAGAGGACGTGGCCTCCTATACCCTGAGATCTTCTTCTGTCTTGGTGTTTCCCTACTCCAAAGCTCAGAGACTGACCCCAATCAGAGAAGAGCAATGAGACTGGGGGAAACTCTGCAATGGCAGAGAGATACCCTATTATTTGCATGGCCAGCATCTTCTTGCATTCTTAACATCAAACCCATGCCCAGATAGGTCCAGAACAGGGAAGATTTTTCTTCTACATATCAGAACACCTAGAGTTTTATTTTTTCCCCTCTTGGCTGTTCTCTGAAGTGATGAGCAGAAGTCTGCTGCTAGAACTGATTGTGCTTCACCTAACTTGTTTACTGTCATTGCAAAGACCCCAGACAGTGGTGTCACTTCCAGTCTTTTCTGTTCTCTGCCTGTAGTCCACAGTACATTAGTCCCAAGAGGTCTGATTTTTTTTTCATCTCTGACCCGATTATATAATACAGACAACAGAGTGAAATATAACTATCTGCAGTAGACTTGATCCTTTGGTCTCTCCTGGCTTTGAACTCCAGGAAGCTGCAGGGTTGTTAATTTTTGTTTTAAACTAGGAAAGTGTAATGATAAAGATAGATAAATGAATAAGAAAAGCTCACAGGAGGCAATAAATAAATGGTGTGTTAACCATGGCAGGCAGTGACAGGGCCTCATTGTATTTCTGCCTCAGTGCTCTGGTGAAAAAGAAGGTCTAGAGGTCTGAGTCACTCATCCCACACAGGGCACTATACTTAATATGTGCTCTTGGATTTTGAATTGCCATGCAGCAGCTCTAAATGGGGACACTTAGTGTCATGTTATTTCTGTTTTCCAATACGTGCTACATGTATTTTATTTTTTGAGTGTCACTTTGAACATCCTTTAAACAATACCCCAAAATTCAAAAATCAGAGGTAAAAATATCTTATTCTGCCTGCTGTTTCTTCCCTGCTGTCTTTGTGATAATCTTTTCAGCAAGGGAAAATAAGGGAGCAACATCACTGAAGGCAGAGCCATCAGCTCGTGCTCACCAGGCAGATACAACAGTGCTGCACCTTGCTCTCTCACAGGTAAGGCTGCTCTTTGCAAGCGAAGGTAACTTTATAAAGTTTTGGGAGTCTTACCAGGCACTTTCCAAGCAGTTGACTGTTTCTCCAAGTCTCTGTCTTCATTGCTGGATTCAGGAGAGTGAATAGCTTTGTCCTGTTTCTCCTTGCTTGCAGTGGTGTTTGGAATGGTTATACTTTGCAACACTGGCTTTTTAGGCAGTGGAGGTTTGCTGCTAAGCTGTTCAGAGGACTTTGCTTTGAGTTTGATCTTTTCATTTAAAGAATCACCAGTATTTGTATTGGCTGTTTTTCTGATCTCTGCCTTATCACCTCTTAGAAAGGAAGTCAGTCCCTCATCTTCTAAATTAAATTCTGCACTGTATCTTTTAATCCCTTTTGATTCTGGTGGTGAGTTGTCTTCATATTTCAAGGACAGTGAGGTGGATCTAAGTTTCACTTGAAAAGGATTTTTATCTTTACAACCTGGCTGATTCTGAGATACCACTGAAGAATTGCTTGACATTGGTACTGCATCAACAGCTGGGGAAACATAACTGGCCAAAATTTCTGTACGTTGTCCTGTCTTCTCAGAGTAGGACTCTGGCAGCAAAGTCTCCTTTTTGTTGCTACTTTTTTCCTCATCCAATTCTGATCCTTTCTGGAAGTCATCTTGCCACTTCTCATTTCTTGAGGTGACCTTTGCTTTGGACAGGAAGAATCCAGTATTTAATGGGCTTTCCAATTCTGATCTTTCTGGAAAATGCAGGCTTCTGGTGCTTGGCCTCTCCCATGCAGAGGAAACAGAAAACTTTTTGAAGGCATTGAGTTCGTTGACCGCCTTTTCAGCTTTCTTCCTCAACTGTTCCTCCTTGTGGACCGGTGACTGACTGTTCTCCTTATCAGAAGCAGCTGCCTCCTGTGCAGTCTTTATTTTCTCTAGAGAGCATAAAGTAGATGATCCCATCTGCATTGAGGAAGCAGGATGTGAAACATGGAATGAGTCTGTGGGCTGGGACGAACCCATGAAAAGCTCCTTGCTGGACTCTGACAATAGAGTAAACTCTTTGTCTGCCCCTTTATTGCCAGGCATTTCCACAGGTACCTGATCCTCCTTCAGTTTATTTTCTTCTGACCTTCCCAAGAAAACAGTACTATTCTCATTAACTGAAATATTTTCCTGAGAAGGTAATTTATTTAATGAAAACACAGTAGGAAGCTCCTTATTTTCTTGATTTACAATATTGATTGACACATCCCCAGACAACAGATCCAGTGTTTCTGAGAAATGTTCTTGCTTTTGTACTTCTCTGTCTAAACAGGAATAGGAAGAAGTTGCAGGGTCTTTGCCTTCTGACAGCAGTGAGGACTCAGACTCCTCACGTGTCATTTCCAGTGTTGGTTGGCAGTCCTCTGGCGTATTCTCTGGTAGCAGGGTTTCCTGTCCAACAGCAGACTCGGAAGCAGGCTGAGTCATCACTGGTCTCAAAGCAGGGGGGACATCCTCAGGCATTCTGGGCTTTGGCCAGGAAGCCACGTTCTGCATTGCAGCTGCACTGCATGGCAGTTCTTGATTGCTGGGTTTGAATACAGCATCATCCTCTTCTTCTTCCTCTGGGGTACAGCTCAAATCAGTCAGAGATTCAGACTGGGTCCTCTGTAAAAAAGAAATTCAGAAAGCCCCATCACCATGTACAACTTCACTTTTTTTCTTATTCATCCTTACATTTACAGCCGAGATCTTAGAGATGGAGGCAATACTTGCCTCCAGTGCTGAGCCTGCAGTTTTCTTAACCTACAGACTGGATGCTTTTTTAACTAAGCAGATCCTAGAATAATGCATTTAACCAATATGAAAGCAAAGTGTGACATTTCCTTCTGCACAGCTAGTGCTTTCATGCCTTAGTAGAAGCGAAGTCCATCAGAACAATGGCCATTGGACTGTCCTTGGCAATTGATTGTCCAGAGCATACTGCCTTGTAAGGTGTGCAGCCAGAGTTGGGCAAGAAAATACTAAAAATTGTATGATCAAAACATGTGAACACTCTCCATGGGAATACAGAAGGGCTCAGTCAGCTGGCAGTTTATAGGCAGTCTGGACAAAGAAATTGTATTTTAGTAACAATGTTAGAATGGAAGAGAAGGATTGATCGGTGAATTATTGTTTTATGTGTTTTTCTAAATAACTGGCCTCATCATTGTTCTGCTCACAGCAGTGCTCTACTGAGCTGAAAGGTCACTCACAGATTTGGAGAAATACAGAATATCAGCTAGTAATATTTTGAGACAGAGGGAATAATATTTCTAGTAATAAGCAAGCCAATTAATGGTTTTACTATATTTAAAACATTGAAAAAGCCCACGAACAATGAAGTAAAAATACCAGTAAAAGCTGAAAACATTAGTGCTGAAAGAGAGGAAGGAAGGAAGGAAGGAAAGAAAAAAAGAAAGAAAAAAAACCCAAGCTATGCTCTTCATAAAATATGAAAAAGGATCAGATAAATGGTTTTTAGAAGGATGGTTTAGAAATTTTTTATTTTCTTTTTTTAACACTATACACTTTTTAACACTTTCATTTTTATTGGGGGTTTGTTTGTTTTTTTCTGTTAAGACTTACTTTACATCTCTGTAGGGCATGTAAAGGATTTACAGGTTTTGGGGCAGGGAGAGGTCTGAATTTAGAACAGTCTTAATGTACAGAATTTGTCTCCAATTAATAGGCCAAAACATGCTCTTTCTGTGCTTTTTGAAAATAAAAGACCAGTTATATTTTGGAAGTTAAAACAGCTTCTCCATGAGCAGTCTCCCAAAGACTCAAGATTTTACAGGATATTGCAGGTTAGGAAAAGTACACAAATTTATCATAACAATTAAAAAAATCTTTAGAGTAAGAAATGCAGCAGTCAGTCCAACTTCTGCATCACAAACAGGACACTAGATTGTATTGCACAGTGAATTTAAGAAGAAATTGTTACGTAAACCACTGCATCAAAACAGCAGCAGGTAAAATCCTAATATTTCATCTGTTCCTAGTGTCTACTTCAGATATTTGTCAGATAACAGCTATTAAAACCCAATGAAATGTCCATGCAGCAAACTGACTATCATATCTGATTTTAAAGTACAAAGTCCAGTAAGAACTTTCTGGGTTTGTGTCAAAAGGGACACTGCTTATTTTCACACGTACCTGAGAAAATTTTCTCATTCTACTGGATCTCTGGTTCCGGGGTTTTATTAAAAGCTTATGTTTAGCAGCAGAATTATCCAAGAAAGCAGAAAGCTCAGGTGGAGTGTCAAAATTGGCTGTAGGGGAGATGGTACTGTCAGATGTCCGGGGAGACCCAGTTTTGGTACTTCCATGCCTAGTGAACAGCTGACCATCTGTAGAGTGAGATCTAGAAGAACCCAGTGTAATCTGAAAAAAAAAAAAAACCCAAATGGAGAATCAGACAAAGAAACAAAGATACAAAAATAACAGTTCTACAAATAAGTAGACATATTTATTACCATTTTAATTTTTCCTCTTTTTCTTCTTTGACATTTCTTTAAAATATGTTGCATTTCCTAATGTTGCATGT